TTACCACTTTTATAATGCAGTTAGAGACTAGAGTGTATTACTATTGTAATATATATAATTTGAAACTTGATTCAAAAATCTACTGAATGAACTTAGAATTCAGCTAGCTGTTTAAAATCAAAAACTCAGACCACATTAAGAATCAATATAAATATCATTAATCACATGAACAAACATTCACATGCCATCACTCTTTACAAGACTGAACTGAGTAATGTGTCAATGTTGTTCGAGAGTTCATTTTCTGGTTTTATTGCGTAATGAATGGAACATCTTAGTTTAACAGTTGTAAAATTCACCATTTTAAATTTTGCAGAACCAAGTTTTATTTGTTGTCACTTTTTCATTTCAGGTACTATTGTCAGACATAGTTAAAAAAATTCATTGATCAGCTGTTTCTCATTGAGCGAGTCCAAAATATCAACATTTTTTGGAGTTATGGAGATGTTGAGTTCTTTGCACTTTAATTTTTTTATTTTCATTTTTGACATTTAATCACAGCTAGTTGACGAGCCTGTTTCACATTAGCTAAGAAATCAGCTTCTAGCTTTGTGACTTGTCCTACTTTACAGGAAGTCCTTGCCTATTTCTAACGTTTCTTCTGGCATCCAGGTAATTCTAAAAAATCTGAATTCAGCAAGTAGGCATTGCTTGTTACAACATTCTTTCTAGAAATGGTCTATATTGAAGTAGTTCCACAATCTTTTTATGCGATTGTCTAGCTTTGCAAACTCTGACTCACATCCAAAATTTGTCAGTGGCAAATGCTTAATTTTGCCGTCTGTTCACTCATTTTCAGACCCTAATGATGTACAAAAGCCTTTTGTACATCATTAGGGTCTGGAATGATGACTTGAGAGAAAAAGTCCACCTCTTTTAACTGTCAAATCAATGTGCCTGCAATCAAGATAGCAGCAAATAGCCTTCCTCTGCCACAATTTAAGTCAGCATTGCTTCTAGCTTCTTTCAGTTGTGATAACTTTTCTTTGAAAAACTCCCTTACACCACTCCAGCTTGAATCATGTTTAGTAGTTCTCGGTTTGTCTGTTCTTCTCTTATCAATTCAAAGTAAATTCAATTGTAGAAAAAAATATCCATCTCTTCTACTTCGACTTCTGAACAGAGAATGAACCAATCTTCTGTATATAAACTGATACTGTTTATATACAGAATGATACACAGTTGCATCAAAAAAGTCTTGGATTGATTGTCTCCTGGTTACAAATTCTTTTGCTATTTCAGAAATGCATCTTAAGTGGCTGAAATAAAACCTCTGAATCCACAATGTTCAATATTTTGAAGATCCATCCAGCCTTTTTACTTGTGTATATGGATCCTAATTGATTAGCATGACTTGGCAAGAGTGTGCATTGAAGATGATGAAGATGTGAATGCTTTCTGTCCAGGTGATATGTCTAGCAGTTTCTGAACTCCTATTCTCTGCTTGTTGATGCAATATACCTTATCAATAACATGATCGATGCCCAGAAATAAATGCACACATTTTAAAATTTTTTTGTCCTCAACATTTTGGTTTTTTAACAATATGGTACAATCTCCAAAATGACATCCAAAAATCGATAGCACTTTTCACTTCATCAACAATAGAGTCCACCAAAACTGCAAGACATTTCAGCTTGAACTTGTAGGCTACCACATCCTCAGATTCTGAATGAAAAGTATTATCAAAATAGCCTGTGGTCATTATTTTACACCCTGCCTGGACCACTGATTTTAATGTGGTCCGCCTTGATGTCATACAACTTGTGGTTGGCAGCTTTAGCCATATTGTCTAAACCAATGATAACAACATCACTAATGTTTTTACTGAGAAGATAATTTGCTGCCATCTGGAGCTGAGGGGAAGCTGAGGGGAAAACGTAGGTGAGATCTCTAGTAGAGTGACGTGTTTTAAGTTGTCGGCAACTGTGCTTTTTTCCAGTTCATCTAATCTGACTCAGAACCACTCAATTCTTCATCTAGCCGATTTGAATTGATTGTCCATTTCTGACAAAGATGATGTTAGCAGATTTTATAATAATAACAACTACGCCATTGCAACTTTTTGGTCGCATAAACACTGGGTTGTCATCTTACTATATGTTCCAAACATTTATGACTAGCTTTTACTTGAGTGTTTCTAGTATAATTGGAAGCGCAGCAATGAAGCCTCAATCTTGGTCTTCCGAGTTAGTCAATCCTTGAACATCATTCGTGTTTAGGGCATCCATATACTGCAAACTTATGCATGCTTTTTCCTGCTTACTAGTTTCCTTATTTGACTGATGTCTTTCCTCATTTCTCTTCGCCTGTTTTTTCCGTTTCCATGAAACTATCAATGCACAAATTGATAACAACTCTTCTGATTTTGGTTGGTATGACACATTATTTGTTCTAATATCGTAGGCTCTGCTTGTCATACGCATGTTGAAATCTTGAGCTTTCTGTATCTATTGACTCATTTTCTTGTAGCTTGAATTTCTGTTGTTTAACAAAAGTCATGAAAGTTAGGTATTTATCTCTTATCTTCTTGGCTATTTTTTATTGACACAGTGGATAGACATTCTTCGATATCTAGTCATCTGATAGCTACTGTCCCACTATTTTGCTTGCTAGTAATTATTAACTAGGTATCACTGAACACAGATGTATCATCTAAAAAATTAAATGTGCACCATTTTGCAATATGGATTTACCAATGGTTCTTCTCAGTACACAAACCCTGAGAATTTGTAAGTTACAGTATTGCTTCTAGTTTTGACTGAACTATCCGTGTTTTTTGGAATGGTAGATTGGTGCGCATTGAGACCTCAAATGAAAAATCAGCCCTAAAACCAATTTTTGGTACCCATTTCGAAAAAAAAGCAAATTTATATAATTGAAATCGCTGTGGCAGGCCAAAAATTCTTCCAGATTTGAATTCAGCTTCACAGTTTGCCTTAGTAACAGCTCGCTATAAAAAAACTTTCATATTTGCTCCACCCTCATATTAAAGGTAGTAAATGATTAATGATTAATCAATTAATAAAAATTAACTGTTAATCAATTAAGAAACAATCAAATAATTTTTTTGTTTAAAAATTTAAACTTTTGTTATGCTTTTTTTATTTACATTTTGTTGTTATAATAACAATTTACCATTTTCCGGTGCCAACAATGGATTTTTTGACAACGTATATGGAGAGCAAGTGTCCAATTGACATGCTATTACTCAAGTGTGAAACATATATGATATCCGGTGTTTTTGTATTAATCAATTGTAAACAACTCCTGATGATGTTTGGTAAGTGGGTTTTTTAATTTTTAATGTTTGTGGTCTGTACGGACCTCTGGTACGATTTTAGTTCATCCGTAATTCAATTTATGTATTTGTTTGTTTGTGTTCTGCATGGACCTCTGGTGCAGTGCTGGTTCACTCGTAAGTCACTTATAAATGTATGATTGCATTTTGTTAGAACCTCTGGTGTCATGTTCATCTATTTGTAATTCACTATGTGAATATGTTTGTGTTCAATCGCCTGTAAGTTCCTGTATGTTTATTTAATTATTTTTATTAACTTTAGTGATTACTAATGAAATCTCCTTAAATATGTATCAGGCTTTCACAGGAAGGCGTGGGATTGCAAGAAGAAAGAAGTGTTTTGTTACTTCATTGAAAAGCGTTTCGATAATATAAAAGCATTTAAAATCAAACTTATTTAATTGTAACGGCTTTCTAAAAAAAAATTTTCAATGAAATTTTGTTCATCTTTTTAAATGTATTAACTTTAATTATTCTTGTATTAAAACTCATTAAAGAGACTTTCGTAGCCGTAGAATGTCATCGTTTATAAAAACAAAACAATTTTTTAATTTTTAATAGTGTTTATTATAGAAATGCACACTTTAACAATTTATATATTATAATTTAAAAAATATATATACACTTGTCAATTATATATTTTTTTAAAAAAACATCAGTAAATTGTTATTTTATTTAAAAGCGTTTCGTTAATATAAAAACATTAGTTAAGAAGTTTTGATGTTACTAATTTCACTTTTTCAGGATATTTTTCATTTAGCGCGCTTTTAAAATATTTTTTGAATTAGCCGCGGTCAAATCATCATAATAAAATGTAATTTGCCTGGTCATATAAAGACATGTGATCGCACGCATTCCTGTGAAAGCCTGATGTATTGTTTTTTATAAAATCAACCATACAAATTGTTTTAAAAAATTTACTTTTAAAATAATTTGTATGATTGATTTTATAAAAATCAGTTTATTTATTTTACATAAAAAAAAAATACTTTTTAAAAAATAAAACTTTCTTAACTCTATACAATTTAAAAAAAAAACTAAAAATTTTCTTCTTATAAAGAATCAATAAAATATTGTTTAAAAGCATTTTGTAATGTAAAAACAGCACTAATGTAAAAACATTTGACTTCAAAAGTTTAATGTTACAAAGTTATTTCTTTAAGCATGTTAAAACTTAATGTTCATTACATACATGGAAACATAGAAAAATGTGAATCTTATTAAAACATCTAAAAAGTTGTTGCAACTAAAGATTATATGCATGGTCAGTAATGGAGTGAAATTGCACCTGCTTCCCAACCATAGCTATATATATATATATATATATATATATATATATATATATACATATATATATATATATATATATATATATATATATATATATATATATATATATATATATATATATATATATATATATATATATATATATATATATATATATATATATATATATATAACATTTAATCTGAATAAAAAATCTGATAAACTTAGAGTTAATAATTTTGTAAAAAACTTTTATACTGCACCATCAATATAAAACCCAGTCATAAACCCTACCCAAGTCAAGGTTTATCAAATCCTATATAATTCCTGTCCCATTCTAAAATTAGCCTATGGGCATTATCAATATAAATGCTAAACAGTATACTTATGGCTTGTTACTACAAAATAAAAATGTAATAATTTTTTAAACCTCCAGTATTACAACTGAAACCATGCGGGCAACAATGCTCATGGTCAGCACAACACACTGCATTAGGCAGTGGACAACAGCCATATTGACCAGATTCTAAAGTACAACAAGTGTTATTTTTAGGACACTGAGAAATTCCATCTGGACATTCCACACTCTTCACATTAACAATGGCTTTTGTGTGAACTAAACCTTTTACTCTTAAATTGCCTCGAGTACAATACCCTATTAAATCAAAAATATTATTAATTAAATGTTAATAAAAAATATATATATATCTAATAATATAATTATATATATATAATATAATTATATATATAATCAAACCATATAAATAAAATATATCATAAGTAAAAGTGAACACTTCATGCAAGTAATAAAATAAAAAATGAGAAAAAGGACCATGTATAATATTTAAAAATGAAAAAAAAAAAAAAATACCAAATCACATTACTGACCTCCAGCATCACAGCTGTAACCCTCTTGACAGCAATGCTCATGATCAGCACAACACACTGCATTAGGCAGTGGACAACAGCCATATTGACTAGATTCTAAAGTACAACAAGTATTATCACTGGGACACTGAGAAATTCCATCTGGACATTCCACATTCTTCACTTTACCAATGGCGTTTGTGTGAACTGAATCTTTACTTATTTCAATACCATGTTTAGAAAATCCTAGTTGTATATAAAAATTAAATTTATTAAATACATTATACTAATTATTTTTGATAAGGAGAATAATAAATAGAAAAACTGTAAGGTGCTTATTCATTTAATTTTAATAGCTACACAATATTTGTTCTAAAAAATATTACTATTTTATGAAACTTTTAATAAACCTTTTAACAATTTTAGGGCATTCAAATTTTCTACTTCATTGCTACAAGTACCTGGAAAAAAGTTAAAAAAAAAATATTTAATTTTTTTTTAAAGCTATATTTCTCAAAAATAATATTTTACAACAATAAAATAAAATAATAATTAAGGCAGACTAAATAAAATAAATACTATGATATAAAATTCATATTATATGTAAAATAAATATTTAAATAAACTTCATAATTACAAAATATTTAAAATTAAAAATAATTATAACAAAAATAAAAATCAAAAGTTGAAAAAATATATAAATTTGTTAAAGAAATTTTTAACTAAAAATAATTTTTTTTATTACCATCATAATTACATATATAACCATATGGACAGCAATGAATTCTGTCATTACAGCATGTGGCATAAGGCAATGGGCAACAACCATACACATTATCACCAATTAAACAACAAGTATAACTATTTGGGCAACATGTGGCACCATCATGACAAATAGTTGTAAGTTTAGAAATACCTATTTTCATTAATGAAGTCATTGAATTTTCTGCATTATAACAACCAGTTTTTCCACACTTATAATCTAGCGGGCAATGGTGAATGTTATCATTGCAAACTACAGCATTGGAAATAGCACAACAACCATAAGTTCCATTCTTAAGTAAACAACATGAAGAAGCAGAATCACATGAATGAATTTGATCAGGACATAAAATAGGCAAATTAAGCCGTTCAGCCAAAGCACTTTTTACAATAGAGGCTAGCCTCTTTTTCATTATGTTTTCAAATGATCCATTGGAGGTAATGCACCTAAAATTTTTTATGTCACATTTTGAGTGTTCAGGGCAGTAATAAGCATCATCTTCACACGAAACAATTTGCGACTGTGGACAACAGCCAAATACATCTTGTTTTATTAAACAGCATTCTTCTTTTGATGAGCAAAAATATAGGCCACCAGGACAAACCTGTATTTCTTTTTCCGGATTTAAAATCTTTATAATGTTTTGGGGAATAATCTTAGCTTTCTGCTTTCGCAACATTGGTAAAACAGAGTTTTCTTTTACGCAACCTTTTGTTTCAAAACTACAGTGGTAACCAGATGGACAACAATGAATTCCATCAGAGCAACAATCAGCATTAGGATATGGACAACAGGTATAACTTCCACCTGGCTTTTCACAGCAAGTGCTGCCTTCTGAGCACACTGAAACCATGTCAGGGCATGTAACAGTTTTAATATTAAAATAATTTAACACATTTTCTTTTTTAACATAAGTTGCAACTTTAGTAAAGTCTTTATACTGAAATCTTTGGTTCGGTACACAACTAGGTAAGTTACAAACATAGTTTTGGGGGCAACAATGTATATAATCATTGCAACAAACAGCAGATTGATAAGGACAGCAACCATACTCTCCACTCTCCAGCAAGCAACATGTAGTATAGTCTGGACAAGTACTGCATTTGTCAGGGCATAAAACATTTCCAAGGTTTGTTAACTCTAAGCTAACATTAACTTGAAGTTCATTTCCTATTTGATTTCTCTTTGTACTTTTTAAAACCTTAAAAACAAGTTTAAAAAAATTATGTTAAATAAATGCATTCATATGCATATATTTAATAAAATTTCAATATATTTTTTAAAAATCATAAAAAAATCTGTTAAAATCAAGTTTATAATAACTTAAATTTATATAAACTAATACTTTACGGAACATGAAAGACTGAAAAAAAGCATGTTAACAAGCATTAAAAAAATTAAAATATTTTTTGTTAGCTTCTCACATGCAAATCTGTTAAAAAAAAAGTTATATCACAACTTGAAAATATCCTAAAACAAATATTAAAGAAAAAACTCATTACTTCATTATTACTTCATCATTTAAATTACCACACTTTGAAAAACTATTCTTGTCATAAGTTATTTAACAAATTTCTATGCAAATAAGATTTTTAAAAATGAGAAAATCTTACAAATATTTATCACATGAACCATTTTTTTTGACACTTATTTTATAATTTTTTAATTTATTTTATATCAATTAATTAATATTATTATTTACTGCATTTACATTTATAAATATGGGTGTGTGCAGGGGGAAGGGGAATAAAAAATCCAACAATTACTTTCACAGAAGAAAGATTAGAAAAGACATCATAAGAAAAAATAGATTTAAGATCAGCTAGATATTCTAAGCATTCAAAAAGTGATACTAATTTTTTAAATAAACAATTTAATTATTTTTTAAGTGCGAAGAACTGTTATGAATCTTTTTTTAAACTTTTAAAAATGCGCGTTTATTAAACAATAATCAGTTGTAAGTTGTTACTAATTTAAAAAGAGTTTCGCATAATATTATATTATAAAAACATTAGTAAAGATAAACAATTCAAAGTTATTTATTCCAAACGTAATTTAGATAATTTTATTGTTATAGTTTATTATTTATTTTACTTAGGTTTTAATTTTATTTTGTTTTAGTTAAGTTATTTTCATTTTGTTTTTTGTTATTTTTTTTTACCAAGATTTATTTGTTTTTTTTTAAGTTCGAGATTTTTTTAGCGAGCTTTTAAAATGCATACAAATTTTCAAAACATATTAACAGCTGTGGTCAAGTTAAGTAGAATCAAATCGTATTTGCATGGTCATATAATGACGTGACACACCTTCCTGGCCAAGCCTGAATATCTGAACTATTTTATTCATATATTTAACTTCGGGAAATTTAGAAAATAAAATAACTAAAGAAATTCTACAATAATTTACGATTAAAAAAAAACTTTTATATAATAATAATTAACTAAACAAATTTTTTAGTAATCTATAATAATAATAAATAAAATTCTAAAATTTGATAAAAAAAAAAAAAAGAATGTGCAGATTTCTTATCGAAAATCTACAATGAAATCATTTACTAAATTACTCTTTGGAATTAAACGCGCTTGAATAAATTATGAAGTCTGTAGATTGTGGCGTATATTTTTAGGACTTTGAGAGATAGGCTAACATGGAGACTGTTAGCTTCAAATAAAACAACAAAATTTGTTCTTCTTGGTTTAAATTTATCATTTTATTTTACTTAAAAAAAATCTGCCCAAACATTTTTTTTTTTTATCATTCTCTTTAATATAAACACAACTTGTCTTGGCCCTTTGAGATCCTTTTAAGAACTTCTTAAAACCCTGACTAATTATATAATACTTCTTAAATCACTGATTAGTTATATAATAATAACATTTTGCATATATTTTTTGATAACATTTTAATTAAAGCATACTTTCCTATCTTTTTATTTTTTATTTTTACTGTTATCTAACCAATTTTACACAACTGAAGATATAGTTATACTAACTGTATTTCTTTATAGGATAAGATAATCCATGAGACAATTCCGAATTTATCTAGAAGGTACATTTTTGAGAATTAAAAGCTGAATTTTATAAGATTTTTGCACACTTAAAGGAGAGTAATTCCATTCATTTTAAAGATCCTTACATCAGAGCTATAGATATAAGTACTGAAAAATTTTTACAGCAAGATCAGCTGATTCACTATCTTTGAGAGTCAAAGTTAAAAACTGAAAAACTAGTTCTGTATATGTTAACTAAGCATGAAAAGCAAGAAGATCCTAAAAAAAGCCTTTTTATATAGCTTTATGCTCTACGCATTTTACAGATGAAATGTCAGTTTTACCTATGTGTTTAGCAATTTATGTTTAGCAAAAACTTTATCTCTTGTCTATTTAAATTGTTTTTTGATATAGTTTATGCAGTGTTAATTTAGAAAATGTTAATTTGTAATTAATTATTGTAAAAAAACATGTTAACACAACTGTGAAATAATTTATTTGTCAGGTTCAGTATACTTGCATTATATGTATTTTATTGAGTATAACCAATATATTGCCTGCATATTGCCAGAATGTTGTTTATATAACATATGAACTATGTTGAAAGTCAAGTTAAGAGCAAATGTAACTGTTATATTCTCAAATACGTAGTATTTGAACTAAATAATTGACGTCAATCACGTCATTATAAAAATTTGGTTAAATGAACTTAAGTTATTCTAATTATATTTAATTGATGTGTTATAAAATCTGCTTTGTAGATCTTGAATTGTGTTTGATTTAATATTTAATAAAAGCCGAAAATATTTAATATAGACTTATTTATTACGGTTTCACAACAATTTTTTTCAAATATTATTATTTACATTATGGATGCAAAAATATTTTTAAAAATACTATGCGACAAACCAAACGAAGAAGAGTATATGTACTGGAAAAAAATGCTATCAATTTATTTAGATAAAGCTAACATAGACGAAGATTGCAAACTTCAAGTTTTATTCGTACTATCCAGTGTAAAAGCTTTCAAAATAATCCAAGATACTACATCATATGATGATGCAATCAAAATACTTGATAACAAATATCAAAAATGATCAACACCTATTATGATGTGCCACAAACTTCGCTCTTTTGAGCAACAAGAAGGAGAAACAGTTGAAAGCTTCATGAGTAGCCTGAAACAATTCACAATAAAAACCAACAGAACCTCTAACAGCAAAACAACATTAATTTATTAACTTGCGACACTTTTGTCACTGGAATTTACTCACCTTCTATTTGACAACAACTCTTTGAAGCTATAGAAGACAATCTCGAGGCACTTTATAAAACAGCGCTAACAATGGAATTAACCACCGAAGGTGCTCTTAATTTGATAACAACCAGGACAGCTAATACTACGCTACCAACTTTTGCCGCAAGTTGTAGCCTTACGAAATCTCATTGTTACTGTGGTGGTAATGATCCACATCCAAAAATTAAATGTCCAGCACAAAATTCCACCTGTACACATTGTCAAAGAAGGGACCACTGGGCAACTGTCTGTCTCTCAAAGAAACAAAATAAAGCCTACACTAAAACAGCAGTTGTTAAAGGGATCCCCAACTGCTAAGACAATAGTATCTATAGTCATAGCAGCAATCAACTCACCTGGTAGACTAATTAACGTCGCCATTAACAAGAATATAACACAGGAACTGATAGATACTGGCTCCGATAAAACGTTTATTACATCAGAACTTCTTCAGCATTGGAACCTTCCTTACGATACTCAATCTACCTCGAAGATATCATTGGCAGATAATTCAACATTAAAAGTTAAAGGAATCTTCCAAGGCTCATTGTTATTAGCTTGCGAAAAATTGAAAGTGCAATTCCTTATTGTAGACAACTTGGTAGCACTGGTAATTATTAGAATGAACCTGTGAACACAACATACCTCAATTACAATCAATTTTAATAAAAGAAATAAAGAGCCCTTAAAGTTCTGTCTGGCAACAAAGAGCATGAAGTGTACTACTTATGCATTAATACCTGAAGTGGATATTGACAAAATTAAGCCAGTCACTACAACATCACGGCAGGTTCCTAAAAATAACTCCTTCATAACAGAAGAGATAAACTGTATGTTAGAGCAAGATAATATCCAAGTGAGCAACAGTCCTTGGCATGCACAATGTTTTGTAGTATCACCAGAAAACAAAAACCACCTTGTGATTGATTATTCGAATACAATCAATCTACACACTCCACTCGATTCATACCCAACACCTCAAATTGACAATTTGATACTTAAGATAGCTGCTCATAAAGTCTTCTGTACAATTGACCTCAAATCGGCTTACCATCAGGTAAAAATACGACCTGAAAAATACAAGCTAACCGCATTCAAAGCAAATGGCAGACTACACGAGTTTAAACGTTTACCTTTTGGTTGCACAAATGCTGTACCAATTTTTCAGCGGGTTATGGATGAATTTATTCAGAATAACAAACTAGAAAATACATATGCTTACCTTAATGATATAATTATTGGTGGAAAAGATGTTCAAGATCACGATAAAAATCTTAGCCGTTTCATACACGCAGAACCAACTAACTAATTAAGTACCATATATCATTATAGTTACAGATCAAAGATCCATTTCTCTTATTTTCAATAAACAGATTTCAACAAAAATTAAAAACCAAAAACTAACTCGATGGCATTTAGAATTAGCAGATATTATTTATACAATTTCATACAGACCAGGAAATCAAAATATCGTATCCGATGCCTTTTCTTGATGTTGCTCAATTCAAAAACCAATAAAACCTTTTACAATATTCATTCCCAACTATGTCATTCTGGAGTTAAAAAAATGATACATTATTACAAAACTCGAAATCTACCCTACTTTACTACTGAAATTAAACAATTAACAAGCCAATGTACAACCTGTAACAAAATCAAACTGCGCTTCTATAAACCTCCAACTGGTCTTCTTATTCAGGCAACGAGACCTTGGGAACACTTATCTATGGACTTTGTTGAAACTTTACAATCTACCTCAGCTAATAAACACATCCTTGTGGTAGTAGATGAATACTCTCGCTACCCATTTGCATTCCCTTGTAAGGATATAACAGCCGACACTGTGATACAACACCTTCTCAGCCTTGTTTCATTATTTGGTGCACCATCATCTATGCATACAAATCATAGAACACAGTTTGAAAGTATAAAACTTAAAGTATTCCTAGAAAGAAATGGTGTCATCTGAACTTGAACTACTCTATTACACCCACAAGGCAATGGTTAATGTGAAAGAATGAATAGAACAATACTTAAAGCTGTTGGACTGGCTCTGAAAACATTGAGTCTAAGAAAAGATAGATGGGAGGTAGCATTGCAAATGGCTCTATCCTCTATAAGAGGACTTCTGTGTACTGCTACTAATGAAACACCTCACCAGAGGATGATAAACTTCCAGCGTTCATCAATAATAGGTACACAAATCTTCTTAACTGAGCAGGATTTGACAATTTAATAGGACGTACTATTACTATTAAAAGGCCAAATCTTGACGACTATTTTCTTTCAAAGTATCATCAGAGAATAAGCCGTACTAAAACTTTCTTAAAACGGTGAAGACTGTTATATTCTTAAGAACTATGTATTTGAACTAAATAATTGACGTCAACCACGCCATTATAAAAATATGGTTAAATGAACTTAAGTTATTCTAATTATATTTAATTGATGTGTTATAAAATCCATTTTGTAGATCTTGAATTGTGTTTGACTTAATATTTGATAAAAGATGTTTTTAAGATTCTTGAAAATATTTCCAAGTCAAATTTCCCAACTAAAAAATCAAACACTGTGTCAGGCTTATACCAGGTGTAGTAATTGAAAACCGGGTTAGGCACATAGATGGTATTTTTTCATCTTATACAACAACATTGTTTTTTATTACATTAAAAATGTTGAACTTTGTACCAGAAAAGCATCATTTGCTGGAGGCTTTACATTTTTGTTTTCATTTAAAGAAAACTGCTGCTGATGCTCGTTGAATGCTTGAGTAAGCTTATGGTGAACATATTCCATCGAAAACAACTTGTGAAGACTGGTTTAAATGATTTAAAAGTAATCATTATGATGTGGAAGACAAACAATGTCCAGGTCAAGAAAAAAAGTTTGAAGACAGTGAATTGCAACAATTATTGGATGAAGACGATACACAAACTCAAAAAGAATTGGCAGAAGCATTAAATGTTTGTCAAAAAAACAATTTTCAATCATTTGAAAACAATGGGAAAGATCCAAAAGCTAGGAAAATGGGTTCCACATGAATTGAACGAAAGACAACAAGAAAGATGATTAACCATTTGTGAAATGCTCATTCAAAAGCAAGAAAGAAAAGGTTTTTTGCATCGAGTCATTACTGGAGATGAAAAATGGATATTTTTCAAAAATCTAAAACGCAAAAGATCATGGATTTCACAAAAACTAACATCAATATCTACTGCAAAAACAAATTGATTCGGAAAGAAGAGAATGCTGTGTGTTTGGTGGGATCAGAAGCGAATTGTGTACTATGAGCTACTGGAACCTGGTCAAACGGTTCATTCTGAACACTATCAACAAAAAATCATCAATTTGAACCATTCATTGATTAAAAATCGACCAGAATGGAAGAATAGGCATGAAAAAGTGATTTTGCAACATGACAATGCTCGACCACACAAATAAAATAAAAAAACATTAAATGCACTTAAATGGGAAGAATTACCACACCCGCCATATTTACCAGACTAGGCTCCATCTGATTACCATTTGCTGTCATCAATATCATTGAAGCTTGCAGACCAGCACTTCTATGAAGCTGAAGAAGTAAAAAAATGGGTCGATGAGTGGTCCACTTCAAAAAACGAACAATTTTATCGAGATGGAATTCCTAAATTTTGTGAAAGATGGGAAAAATGTGTAGTTAACGATGGAGAATTCTTTAAATAAACCATCTATAATCTTTCAATAAAAAAAAGTGTTTTCTTTGATTAAAAAAAAAAAAACAGTTTTCAAATACTACACCGAATAGTATGAAACCACACTCTTTTTCTGACCAAGCATATAACTTTGACAACTTGCTTATTTAGACTTATTATCTACGTTGTTAAATAACTTTGAAGACTTTACAACTGTAAGTTAATAAAATAAAAAAAGTCTAAATAAAATGAAAAAGATGAATTAAAATCCGCCAACAAAAAAAAAAACAAAAAAAACAATAGTCAAAACAGAAGAGAAAAAAATATATCAAAATTAATCAATTCAATAGAGTTTACAACCAAAATTATAAATAGTTAAACTAAATGTTACTTACCCTCTGTGCTGAATGTTTTTCTAACATGTCTCTTTTACGATTACCACGAGAACAGCTATGTTCTTCTAAATCACAAATGTAATCATTGGGACAGCAGTAATTACCATCTGAACAGCATGTTGCATTTGGATAAGGACAGCATCCAAAAACATTTGGAGATATTAAACAGCAGGTTTCATCGTCTCCACAAACTCCTTTATCTTTGCATATAATATCGGCAGCAATAATACCATATAAGACGAAAATAAGTGTAATAAACAACATGTAATTATTCTTCATATTCTAGTTTTTGTATAGCAACATTTGGTTAATTATTACTATAAGATATAAGGATTCCATATTAAGGTCAAACAATGCACATTATGATAAAATAAAGTAAAAATTTTAATAAATTTATTTAGCATATTGACAACAATTACACTAAGGGAAAAAATTTGAGTAAAAAAGAAGATAAAATAAGTTTTCTTTTAATATATGTATATATGTGTAATGTATAATAAATAATATCATACATGATATATATTTAGTAGAGTTTCAAATTGTATGCATGTAATTTTGAGATCACATCTCATGCAACTTATTCATGCAATTATGAAATTCTACTCATTATATATACCAAGCAGCTTTTAGATTAATACCATGCATTTTTCAGATCACATTTTAAATCTCAGATATGCTTGTCTAGTTTGGGGACAAAGTTGTTTATTTCAAGTTGAAAATAAAAGCATTATTATTAATTATTCTCGTCGTTATAATAGATGGATCCTTTCTTTACTTTCATTTGAAAACAATAAATTGGTCGACCGATATTTGAAATAGAAAGTAAATAGACTTAAGCGTTATGAGTGTCATGTGACTTGAATAAATTTACAGATTTATAGCTGGGACAAGCCCTGTCCGGGTGCGCGTATTTATCAAACCGGGAGGCTGAATAAGCGCGAACTGGCATAAGTGCGAATCGTGGCATAAGTGCGAACTGGCATATGTTCGAATTGGCATATGTGCGCTAAAAGATTTTGCAAATTTTGACACAAGTGCGAACTGGCATAAGTGCGAACTGGCATAAGTGCGAAGCAGTAGCAAAAACTTGAACTGGCATTAGTGCGATTTCGCATAATTGCGCCGAACAAATTTGCAAACATTGGAATTGGCATATATGTGAATTGGCATAAGTGTGAATCAGTTACAAAAACTTGCACAAGTGTGAACTGGCATAAGTGCGAATTGGCATAAGTGCGCCGAACAAATTTGCAAACATTGGTATAAGTGCGAATTGACATAAGTGCGCCAAATAAAATTGAAAATATTGGCATAAATGCAAATTAGTATTTTACACATATACCAATTCACATATATGCCAGTTCGCAATTATGCTCAATTCGTACTTATGCCAACTCGCACTTACGCCATTCGCACTTATGCCAGTTCGCACTTATGAAATTCGCGCTTATTCAGCCGTCCCCACCAAACTATTGCGGAAAAGTTTTTCAAGCATGCGCAAACAATGTTAAAAAGCTAGCAAGATTTTAATAAATCGCTTAAGCAAAGCTTAATAGATCACTTTAAAAGAGTTTGATAGATCACTTTAACAGAATTTAATAGATCACTTTAACAGAGTTTGATAGAAAACTTTGATTGGGTTTGATAGTTAACTTTAACCAGAGAAGTATTCAAGTCAGTAAACGTCAATACCAAGAATAAGTCCAAGACATTGGGGCTTATGACCAAAATCAAAGTTTAATAGAAAACTTTATTAGAGTTTCATAGTTAACTTTGATCAGAGATGTATTTAAGATAGTAAAGGTCAATACCAAGAATGAGACCAAGACATTGGGGCTCAAGACCAAAATCAAGACTGAATGCTTCAATACCAAAAGATCAAAAATTCAATTCAAGACCAAGACTTTTTACACGAGTAACAACTCTTGGTCTTGGTCTTGCGTTAAGAAAGAATTTACAAGACCAGGATCAGGACTTATATTCTGAGAAGTCCATCACAATAAGAATCATGTTCACACATGTTGGTTCACACATAGCCCTTAGTTGGTGCAATAATGACGTGTTTTTGCAGAGTAAGAATTAATAAAAAAAACCTTAGTACTGTTAAGTTCTTATTAAGCTAGTATTTAATTATCTTTAAAAAAATTTTATCGGAACAATCTTCAAATTTATCAAACTTCAAAACTTAGCGACATTTAGTTTTTTAAAAAAATGGAAGTTACAATTAAAAACATTAAACGACTTATAAGGACATACTCGAAGGACTATTAAAATGTATTTTTAAAGACACTGACAAAAAAACAACCAAGAAACAACATTTACAAATATTATAAGCTCAAATCTGAAATTTATGACGGATAGACTTGATAAACTCAAAAGTGAAATTAACATCAAAAATAAAAAAGTTTAACTTTAGAAAAATTTTTTAGCGATATCAAAGTAACTATGAACATCCAAGAAGAAAAGTTCACAAGTAAACTAGAACAAATAATCCAAAAATTTAATGATGAAGTTATTATATTAAAAAAGAATATTCAACTAAGCTTTCAAGACTAAGACCAAGACTTCAAGTGTCCAAGCTTTACACTTATTTTAAAACTTAAGATAGCCACAGAAAAAAAGTTTCAAGGCAGTTAAATATGAGTTTCAATTTGTCTCGAGACCAAGACTTAGGTCTCGAGATCTACATTTTAGAGCTTGAACTGAAAAATTTAGTGAGAGCTCTGCCAATCAAATGGCAAAATAAAACTTTACAAAAGACAAAACTTGTCTTTCTTCTATCAAGCAAAAGGAAAAGGTAAGAATAAAGAAACTTTACAGTTTCCACACTTTTAAACTACTTAAAATACATTTTTAAAATAGGCATCAATCTATGATAAAAGTACGAAAACATGATGAAAATTGATCAAGATTATTATTTAGATTTGAGCAAAATCAAAATCATAAGTTTTTTACTCAATATCTTGTAAGTTTCTAAAGAAAAATATTATGGTTTATTGAAAGTATGAAAAACAACTTTTTTACTAAAAGTTTTATTTGATTTGATAAACATACTATCCCTTGCTTATTTAATAATTTATTTAAATTTAATGTTGCCTTTTTCATTAAATTCACATTTTAAAAAATATTAGAATTTTTATATATCACTCATAAGAATCGTTTCCTAGAATAGTTTTTTATGAAAAATAAGCGTTCATATCTAAAGCGATAAATTATATCTGTTATTCTTTTATTTTTACTTGAAAGTGGATTCGTAACTTTGAAATAAGTTTATGTTTCTCGAACTTTTGTAAAAATATATATTGGATTTTTGATTTAACAAAAGATTTTTTTAATCTTGTATAAAAGTATATTATATGATATTTAAGAAACAACAAGAAATATGGCTTCACTCAACTCTAAAAAAAAGTTTTTGTTGGGTTACAGATAATAGCATCGATAGATCGTTTAATGTTACAAAATTTTTTACCGGTCACAGTTTATATAAATGTTATTATTGACATCAGCGATTAAATGACCGGTAAATAAACATAAAAATAGAAAGTAGATAACGTCGGTTTTTAGTTTAATTGTATTATATAATTTAACATTACTTAGCCTTTTGGTCTACTAATATTTAGGTAGGCCTATAAATAAAAAACTGTTTTTTTTCTACGAACAACAAATCAGAGGATAACCATCGCAATGCAGGGAAGTTTTGAAATAGATGTAAAGCTTTAAATAAGTCTCTAACTGATAGTTTGCACCCACAGATAGTTTGCACCCACAGATAGTTTGCGCTCACAGATAGTTTGCACCCACAGATAGTTTGCACTCACAGATAGTTTGCACCCACAGATAGTTTGCACCCACAGATGCGTGCTGTATTCTTTAAACGAGCCATTGTAATTATAATTACCATGAATAATTATCAGAACAGGCAGGGTCGTGCACAAGATTTAGGGGCTCTGAGAATTTAACAGTATGCCTTTCCCCACCTTAAAATAAAAAAAACCACTGAAATTTTTTTTTTATTACTGGTATATAAGGATAGTTAAGTAATCCAGCTTTTGTTTCTTACAAAGACATCTTTCTTGTCTTTTGTTTCTTGCAAAGACATCTTTCTTGTGTTTTGTTTCTTACAAAGACCTCTATCTTGTCTTTTGTTTTATACAAAGACATTTTTCTTGTCTTTTGTTTATTACAAAGGCATCTTTCTTGTCTTTTATTTTGTAAACTCTTCAATCACATCATAGAAGTCAAGATTTTGAGCTAAAATACACTTAATACTCAAAGTAGCAAGATCAATTGTTTGTTCTTGTTCCATAGTTGAACGAAAAAAAACATTGATGAGCTTTAGTTTACTGAATGGATGCTCGTTGGAATTGAAGCAAAAATACACAGTTCAATCAGTTAGACACAGTTCAATCAACTTTAGAAATTTTGTTTAAGTCGACTAGGGCAAAAGGTTTCTCTACAAAGTTAGCATTTCATTTTCAGCCACATTACTTTAACACTTCTGCAATAAAAGGGAGCAGGCATTCTTGATCTCTACTTATTGAATTTTTGATATTTCGACAAAAAAAATATAGCAATGATTTCTTAAATGGCTATGAAACGATCAGTGACTCCACCAATCACAGAATCAAAAGTGTAGTGACAAAATCGTTCTCCGAAATATTGTTTCCTTTCCTTATTGTGTTTCTGTTGATTCCGTGATATATCCAAACAGATTTACAGTGACTGATCAATGCTTCAATATTTTTCACCTCCTTATCAATAGTTGCCTTTCTTGCCTAATTGATCTGGTTGTAGCTATCAATCAAATCTTCTATCCAGTTTCCATGCATGAGAACGCGTTTAAAGAAGCTCGTATATTTGAAAACAACTAACAACTAATGAGGGCATCGTGGGGGCTGGGGTTCCGAACAATTTGCTTGAGTGACACGCCCTCTGCACTGCAATGAGACTAAGTATATTAGGTTCTTAGTAGTTAATACTGTTTATTTATTTGTATAAATAAAGTATGTGTTAAAAATAACTTAAAAATAAGATAGCCTTAAAAATAAACTTAAAAATAAGATAGCCTTATAAAAGCTGAGTAATGACAAAGTATATCAGCCGAAAACGATAGCAGAAGCTGGTAAACTACTCAAAAAAAAAAAAAGAATCAGCTGAAGACAGCCTTCATATGAGTCATCTGGAGCACAATTATGGAAAGGTTTTACAAAGTAAGAAAAATGCTTCAAGCCGTTGAAATTGATTTGACAGTGGTGAATAAATTATCTAGATCTCTGTCTTTTATTATTTAAGAGGTTGGATCAAGTTTTAAACAAACTTGAATCTATGGTATTT